TGACATGTCTGTGCCTGTGCACCAAGTTCGGTCACTGCAGCCCTGGCTTTTAATACGAAAATGTATTGAAAGGTTTCTTGTCAGATTCACTGTTGAGGAATAAGTTATTCACTATTCTGTTTCCATAAATCAAAGCGTGAAAGGAAAGCATGAGCAGTGTTCTGTCCGTGTAAGTGGCAATCGTGCTGTTTCCAGCTAATGACCCCATTTTTCTTAGGGAATCACTGTGTGAGGGAGGCTGGGACAATAACACCAGTTAGATTCCTTCCTTGCTGTTCTTCCCTGGAAATTGCATGTGGAAGAGATTTTAATACCTTTTCGGTTCTGAGGATTTTCCCTCGGCTTTTCAAGTCCCCTATTAGGGAACATGGCTGCTTATATTTGCATTTACCGTATTGTACTTTGTGTAGCCTCCCAAATTTCTCTGCTTCTGGTTAGCCATCTCTTCCCCACTGTTATCAACCATCTCCTGTCAATGGACACCTCCCACCCTTCACCTAAATTATTCCAACTTTTGCCCTTTTCCCACCTCCACAAACTGCTTCAAGTTCTCCTTTCCAAATTCCTCCTATTTAACACTATCCCAGAACAAACTTTCCCCTTCTCTCTCCAAATAAACTGCTTCAATAAGCCTCTGCGAACCCCCTAAACAACTAACATCCCATAATCCACCTTGTTCTAAAATACTGCTTTTCATAACCTGCAACCATTTGCTCTCTTCCTCCCCTCAAAGAAATAAACCGTCTTCAGTGTTTCGTCTTCTCTGGGCGCTGAGCTACCTCACTGAAACCCTAAAATACACACACGTACACACACAACTAACAACCTCCCGAACAAAGGAATATGACCTAATACTGTCTTTCACCTTCCCTTCCTCTGAGAAAGAAAACTCTCGTGAGGTATGTAAGGACCCATCCGTGTTCAAGGATTTTCTTCTTTCTGATGAAATAAGCTAAGGAGAGATACAGGAAGGCATTCCAAGGCCGAGCACATTCTACTGTTTATTACACATATTACATTCTTAAATAAAAATGCGTCACATAACATTTTTTGCATAGATATCTTACAATATACCAATTTAAAAAAGAATTATGAAACAGACCAGTAACAAAAATAAATTTTTTCTTCATTAATAATTTTGTAACATTAACATACCACCATCATATAATACAAATAATAGTTTTAAATCTTAAGACTTTTGTACAGCAAAAAAACTTGACAAAGTAATATATTTATATATATATATATATATAAAAAGCTTAAAAAAAATAAAATGTCAAAAAAAGGCATAACCAAGGGCTATAAGACTGGGTACTTCTGTGATATATTATAAATACCAGAGAAGGCCTGAGAGAATGTGACCGGGAGAGGTGGGGGAGGGGAGGGGCTGGGAGTAGGTCTCTCCAAACACACTTGTTAGACACATCTGGCAAAAAGAAAATGTATAGTGCAAAAACTAAACTTCTTCAAGCAACTGTTAAAGAGGGTAACAGAGATTTGAAAGAAAAGTGGTGGTGGCTAGGAAGCTGTGTGATGGGAGTGGGGAAGGGTGATGAGAGCAGGGATTTGGGGGGATTTGGGGGGATTTGTGGAAGGGAAGGGGAGGCTTCAAAAACATTAAACATTTATTTTTGCCTCTGTGTTAGCAAGGTGATGTTGGCCGTAACAGGTGTATTTTTCCTCCCTGGAATGAAGCAGAAGTGAAAGATAAGGAAATAGTTAAACTAAGTCTGCGTTTAGATAGGAAATGCATGCTGGGAAAAACAAAAACAAAAAGGTTGAGAACCAGCCAATGAGCCCAAAAGCCTTTCAGGACCTAGATTTGCAGAAAACATTCTGCCCCTGGTCCGAAGGCCTAAGATTAAAATGTCCCTCTCCCCACCCTCCACCCCTCCCCTCTATGTGGAACTCCCAATGTGGTTTCAATATACTGGCAATTATAAGCATCCATTCCCCCCCAAGAGATATTAGGCACTGGTGGCTACTCCTCTCAAACGTCAGTAGCCTATTTTCCTTCTGTGAAGGTACAATAGGTACATATGCACACATGTCCAGGTGTGTGCATGCATACCACCCTCATTATTCTGACATGGGGTCCATTTTATGGCAGTAGACAGAAGCTGGAGTCAAAGCAATTTACGATTCCAAAGCTCACAGTTAAAAAAAATTGTATAAACAGTCCCCAACAAAGAACATATCAACCTTCCCTCATGACTGCTGAGAGGGAGCCCTGTTTGAAAAGTGTATCTTGTTTGGGAGATGTCTGAAGTGATGGCCTAGGATTTCTCTCTCCATTTTTGATACCTGTTTCCCGAGGACTTATATGTAAATGCAAAACACCTGAAGAATACAGTACTCTATTGGAAGGGTGCACATAAGAAGGTTAATTGCAGCTTTATTTTTCCCTTTGCTGGAATCTATTAGGAACCAACAGAGGAGATTTAAGAAGTGTTAAAAAGCAAGAGAAAACCCTGAAGCCTCAGGCAGTTAGTCATGGGATCTCACATTTAAAAGCAGTTTTTGCTTCCTTCCACACATTTTTGTTGTTCCATCTCAAGTATTCCCAAAGATCCTCATTGAGGAAAGTAGGCCATCAAAGAGGCATTGATGTATAATCAAGCCAGCCGTCTCTTTTTCAGACTGATACCACCGTGTTTACCGAAATGTAATCCAGACCCAGCATTCTAATTATCTCCTCCTGCCCCCACCCCACGCTTGGCAGGTGGCTATTTCTGGAAGGTGCCAGGGAAAGCTTCCGCAGGTACATTTCAACCAGGTTCTACTGAATGAATTTTCACTTTGGTAAAGATATGGGTGCAAAATTGTGGCCAAAAATGCTGGCCCTCATAAGATTTGTAAGAAAGAAAGAAATAATGAACCTGATTAGTGTACTTACATGTGTTGCATCTCTCTGACTTTCCCTCCCTTCCTCCTTCTCCTAAAACCAAATCACGCAAAAGAGAAGACAGAAGCACTCTGCACTGTATTTTATATTTTATAAAGTGACTTCCATAGAGGAAACCACTGTGAACCAATAAGACTAAATCACTAGGTTTTTGTTGTTCTTGCCATTTGAGTTCATTTCTTTTGATTTTGCCATAGCATGCAGGAGTGGGGCTGAATTCAGAACAGGCAGAATGTTCGAAATGCACTGGATGCGCAGGCCTGAAAGTCCCATCTATTTTCCCTTTGACACACACAGACATGGCTAATCTGGAAGCTTATCCCAAACTAGAGTCTTTAAAAAAATCTTCTCTGGTTTCTAGATTCAAAGAAGATCTTTTAAAAATAGGAATCAGTTCTGCTAACCATTCGTGAGGTTGAGTGTCTTTTTACCCTGTTATAATCAGGCAATCAGAGATGTAAAAAGGGCACGAGAGGTGCAGGAGGGGAAGAGGTGGGACATTTGAAGGGCTTCGCAGGGGAAGCACAGAGAGGGGGAGGAAATGGTCACGTGAATCATCTTGGGGTCTCCGATATTCGTATATAAAATGCAGCTTTGTCATGGAATCTGAACGTTTCTTTTTCTGGACATAATACTCATCACCACCAGGCATTAAGCTGGGCCAATTAACCATTAGTGGGGCTGGAGGCCAGTAGCTAGGAGCAGCATTATAGTATCATGTTTCCACATCTTTGACTTACAGCCAGGTGGTAGGAGAAAGAAGCACAACTTGAAATAAAGAAAATTGTCAATGGCTTAGAAACATTCTTTTTCTGTACATCAAACTCTGAACCCCAGATAAAGTGTGCTTGGGAGGACAACCGCCAGAAACACCCTGCCAGGCTTTTCCTTTCAAATTTGGGATCCCCTGGAATGTCCGGAGGTAACAATTTAAATGAGAAAGCGGTTTGATGTGTTTCAAATGTCCATTAAAGCACTGTTTTAAATAACCTGTCCTCTTGGGAGCAAAGTATCTTCAGGTTTTTTCTTGGAAAGCCTGCTCACTTTGGTAGGCTCTTCCCAACCATCTCTGCCATGTCAGAGACGATGGACATTTTATCACAGATCTGTTTCCAATATGATGGGGGCTACCCTCACTCCCATGGATAGGACTGGTTATCCTTCACAGGTGTCAATCGGGCTAGAGAAGAATAGTTTCAAAGCCATACACTTAGCACCCACCAAATTCTCACGCCATTTCTCACAGTCATCAGTGACTGAAGCAAGCAGGCCCCGCACACCCTGCTCTGAGAACAGTTAGGAGCAGATCACAAAGAACCTCAGTGATACAAAAGAGGGAGGAATTACGGAACATTTCAGACACTGATGAGGACCAAGGGGCCTTTGTTCTGCCATATTCAAATGAGATCTTTTCAAGACCACAGATGACAACAGGGAGCGAGCAAACAATGATTACTCTTTTTCATTCTTTTTTTCTTTTTTTAAAAAAACTTTCTTTTTAATAGAACCTTGCATTGGTCAGTTCAAAAATTAAATTAAGGATGATAAACCCTTAATAGCATTTCGAGAGGCAAGAGCAGCTCCAGCTGAGGAGAGAACATTTGTAAGTAGTGGCAGCCACGGCTAATGCCATCACTGGTGTGTGCGTGCATCTGTGCTGGAGGCTGCGAGAGAAAGGGAAATCAACGAACCAACAGAATCTGGGGGTGTCTAAAGTTTCATCTAGTGTACTGACTGGAGGCGCTACAGTTTTAATACAGCTGAGGTTCAAGGTCCCTCACACATCCTTCATCCAGAAAGGATGCATCACACATTCAAATATTATCCCATGGTACGCCCTGATGGACTGGCCACAAAATGCACTCAAATGCAGTAGAGAACTATGAGATTGTCAGCAAGCAGTGCTCCAGAAATTGTTTCTAGGTCATGTCTAGTTTTAAATCTTTGGAATAAAACTGATTTTTAAAAAATACCCTCCAACTAACATATACATAATTGCCTCCGGCAAATGGGCAGATATTGTGTGTGTGTGTGTTACAGTGGTTTTTCTTTTTCTTTCTTTTTTTGTTTTTGTTTTTTTGTGGATTTTTTTTTTTTTGGTCTAAACTGAAAAAAAGGAAGAAGAGAAAGAAAACTTTAAGGGCCAGACCTCAGAATGCCCGAAGTGTCCAATTGGCAGCTATAGCATTTATGATAAGGAGGCTCCTTTACCCTTAGACGAGTAGTTTCAACGTTTCAGTGAATTCAAAGTTTGCAGAAAGCTGAGAAACCAAATGCCAAGGATCTTGAAGGTTGCTGTCATAAATGGATTTTTGTTTCCTATATATTATTTCCTTTTAAAGACTTCAGTTTTGCATCCCAAATAGGTATGGGGTGGCATTTTAACAGTCAATGAGTCAAACAGTCAAAGGAGGGCAGAAGGGGAGCCAGATGGTATGAAGGAGCAGCAACCATGTGCGGACCAAATGCCACTTTTGTTTTTTAGACGTGTCTTGAAGGGATGGTCCCAGAATATACAAAATATACAATCTGTCCTAATAACCACCCCACTTGCTTGCATAGGCCATTTAATGGTCCTAAAGGCAGTCTTTGGAGTTGAGGCCAGTGCCAGCTAGCTAAGAATGCGGGTAGAGAGCGACCGATATTGGATGTGTGTGGGGGATGAGAAGTAAGGAATGTAAACCCCCTGGGAGTCAGCTTGCCGCGTAAACGTGAGGCCTCTGTTCATCCTGGGCGCGCTAGGTCACAAGTCATGGGGGTCTAGCCAAACAAAGATTAGAAATATGTCTCTCCTGCTGAGCAGACCATGAGAGAAACATCTCAACCCTTCCTTTAAATCTCCACCCTTCATGCCCACAATGGCATTCTGAATTGTGTGTTTTAGCAAGTGGGGTAATATGAGCTCAGTGGGGATGAGAGAGGATAGGACGATATTTTCTGAAGCCACTAGACTTGGGAGGCATCCTCAGTTTTCCCCACTCTTGGAAAGAGTGATATTTTTTGGCTTTTTGTCAGGTCAGAACCCAGAGTTAGGTTAAATGTGCAGCTGCCCTTTGAGACTAGCAGCATCTATGCTGAGACTGGTTAGAGGGTAGCAATGACACACAGCACAGGGTTGGTCACTATGAGCTGAGGTCATGATGCCTCATGGGGATGAGAGAACTGTGATGTCCCATCTGATTGGCTGCTTCGAGAGCTGGACATCCAAGTGCCGAGAGAGTCCTGGAGAGGTTTAGTCCATGGAGGAAAGATAAAACATTTAAGCTTCCAAATAAGCTTTTCAAGTTTTCGTTAGCAAAAACAGAGATTAAAAAGAAAAAATCTAGCACTGGCAATAAGGTGAGGCTCAAGGGATATACTGTGATTTATCATCAAGGACTTTATTCTCTTGGCCACTTTGCAGTCATGCTAGAAGTTTCCAGAATCCCTAGTGCATATGGTGTGCAAGAGTCAAAAGGTAAGAAAAGAAAACTCCTCCCTTGCGAGTGAAGTCTAGAGAAATGCAGGCCAGGAAGGTGAAAGGTGTTACTCCGGAGTCTGCCGCCGCTAAGGCTGTTGGTATCGACTGGAAAGATCTCAACAGTACTAAGAACCAAAACCGATCAACAGTTCTGTGAGGAAGTTGGACGCACAGAATAGTAGGACTTTTCACACACAAAGGACAAATAAACCAAGAGTTAATTTTGGCTACCAAACTGCAATTTGGTTTTCTAAGTCATTTTCCCCCAACTATTTAAAAGGAAACATTAGTGCTACACAATTGCAACTTTAAGCCGTTGTTGTGTTCTCCTATCAAGTCGCACTGAGAAGCAAGTTAAATAAGCCCCTCTTACTGCTGTCCTCCCGCAGAGACGTCACATCCATTTTCTTTGATTTCCATTGGCAACAGCGGGAAATAATTCCAATAGTGCTGAAGTAAGCAGCCAGTCTGCCTTGCTGAGCTCACCTGGTCATCTTCGCCTTCTGCCATCCAGCTAGGGCAGGGCTTAAAGAACAGACGTATATATTTTCAATATAGCTGAGTGCATGATGGTGTGTGTGGGAGGGTGTGTGTGTGAGTGCGTGGCTATATCTGTGTGGGCGTGTACACAGAGGTTTATAAGTGAGAACTTTCTTCTGCGAAGCAGTGGGTCCCGCCTGAAGTCCAGCCCCCTGCCTCACGGCATTTCCTTCAGACAAGGGCCGATGCTATGGCAACTCTGGCCTTTAGGGTTTTTTTAGATATGTCTCTTCATATGGAGGGCAAGATGGTCAGACCTGGAAAAACACCTAGGAAATAAAAACAACAGGGATATTAGAGAACTCAGCTTCTATCACCCCTTGGAAAATGATGAACCCTATCTTTAAGAGGCAACACATAATATATGTGTTGAGAAGCAAGGCAGTGTGTTCGGAAGGTGAGCTCAGGGTTCAAATCCCAGCTCTTCCATGAGCTGTGTGGCTCTGAGCACATTAACCTCTCTGTACCTTAATCCCCCCCTTCAGTAAAATAGGATAATTATAGCACTGACCTCAAAGTTGTATTAAGTGAGATGATCTATGTAAAGTGCTTAGAATATGGCCTGGAACATAGTGAGAGGTCAATGAAAGCTAACTGTTAGTGCTCTAATTATCCTCACTAAGGAAGAGACAGATGGAAAAATGCTTTGGAAATGTGTCATGCCCGTATGCAATACATATGGTAAAGAATGATTAGTCTTATTATCATCAAGTGGTGGAATTCTAACATTTCAACATCCAGATTTCAGTCTTGAGCTTCACCATGGAAGCCCAGAAATGCTGCCTGTGATATCTACAGGTCTACAGAGACACTCCTATATTCAAGTCCATAAAAAGAACAGAAAAGGGAGCTCACATGTATTGAGTATGGTATAATATACAAGCATAGTAACATCCTCAGTAACCTCCCAGGATAAGAATTCAGATACCTTTTGTGTGTGTGTGGTAAGGAAACTGAGGCTAGGGTCAGACAGCTACTGGGTGGCAGACTTGGGATTACAGCACAGACTGATCTGTAAGCCCACTCCATCAAATACCCACTCTTTCTAACTGCTTCCTGGTGCCTGAGGTCCAGCTCTGAGCGCCTGCCTCCATCTGCCTCAAAGCAGATGCAGTGGTCGCCCGCAGTCCTCCCTCTTCCCTCTGGCACCAGCAACTTAATTTTCCTTTGGGTAGCAACCCTTCTGCGTTCTCAGCTGTCTGGGGCTGACCCTCCCCCTAAGACTGAAGTTATGGCCACAGTGATCTGCTAAGTGACAGCCATGTGAGTCATAAAGGTTAATGAGCACCAGTCCTGGTCATCTGCTGAAACTGTTGCCAGCGAGAAGCTCTCTTTCCACTAGGGCCGCTAAGCTGCTAAGATTGAAGCCTGGAGTTGCTGGTGTCCATATGGCCACATGGGAAAGAGCCTGCTTGAGGAGGAAGTCAACACCGAAAAATGGGCCGGCGGATAGAAAGAGAGAGAAGGGTCCCAAGGCCAACATCTGAGGACCTGGACCCAACGAAACCTAAAGACAAATCCAATTCTGTTCTTAGTGACCTGAGCTAATAAATACTGGTTGAAGCTAACACAGTCTAAGTCAGGTCTCTGCATCGTGTAACTAACACAGTGTGCATTTCCATACCTCTGCAGCTTACAAGCTAAGGTTCTGGCTAGAATCCCTGTGAAGCTGCTGCATCAGGCAGCAGTCATTCTTAGCTCTGGGTGTGTGTTTTCCCTCTGCATCCTTCTCTGGAAACTGGCCATCCTCCTACCTGTGAGAATGTTCCCAGGCTCCCTTGAGTTTTAAGATACCCTCGCAGTCCCAAATTCCTGTTAGGATGTTAGCAGGCAGCTCTGTCCAGGTTAGCAAGGCTTCCTGTTTAGTGCAGGATTTCCCTATGTTTGTTCATTCTTCAAACAAACAAACAAACCCATACTATATACCCTGAACCCAACATTGTCCACAGCCTCTGTGTTTATTTCTTAAATAGGTACATGTCCAGGCTAGAACCCTAGGGAAATGAAGCAAAACAGACCAAAGAAAAATGAAAAAACAAAACAAAACAAAACAAAAAACCATGTAGGAATAGGGAAAGTACAGTAGAAAACAACCAAATCCAATAACATACTGAACAATAATCATTCTAATTACACCCACTTATTTCAGGCCCTGATTTGGTATGAACAAGATATTTAGATAATCTCTTAGAATGTTATCTAAAAGGGATTTGATTCACTATAAAACAGTGGTAAATATTCTTTAAGCAAATACTTGATGTGGCGGGTACACAGAAAAGCAATGCAGCCTGTAGGGAATTTGGCATTTAATATGCATAACTGAGTCCCGTTCGAAGGGCACCTTCAGTATTGCCCTCTGCCTGTCCTCTTTCTTTGTTCCCTCCCCCACTGCCTCCTGCCCTCCTTCCTTCTTTCCCTCCTTCCTTTATCCACACAACCCAGAGAAAGAAGATTTAAGTTGGGAAGTTCTTTCTGTAGGTACTTCCTTTTTAAAGTTAACATCCTTGTAAGAACTCTATAAAGAAGCTACCATTCTTATCTCCGCTACCGGATGAATGTTTATCATAAAGAGGTAAAGCCAAAATTTGACCGGAGGTAGTCTGACTCCAGAGCACAGGCTCTTCTCAGTCACACTCGCTTTTTAAGCTGAGAAGAGTGAGAGCTGGGCTGTCAGTTTAAGGTGTCTGTAGTAGGAAGAATAATGGGTGGCCCCTGCCAAAATATGTCTACACCTAATCCCTGGAAGCTGAGTATGTTAGGTTACAAGGCAAAGAGGAGTCAGGTTATGGATAGAAGTGATTCGCTAAGCAGCTGGCCTGAAAATAGGGAGAGATTATTCTTGATTATCTGGGTAAGGCCAATGCCATCACAAAGGTCTTTAAAAATGGAAGAGGAAATTAAAAGATAAAACCAGAGAGAGGGCAGCATAAGAAGGACTCAGCGGATCGAGTGACAAAGCAATGGGGTCAGGAGGCAAGGAAATGAGGGCAACCTCTAGAAGCTACAGGCTGCATTGCTTTTCTGTGTACCCGCCACATCAAGTATTTGCTTAAAGAATATTTACCACTGTTTTATAGTGAATCAAATCCCTTTTAGATAACATTCTAAGAGATTATCTAAATATCTTGTTCATACCAAATCAGGGCCTGAAATAAGTGGGTGTAATTAGAATGATTACAAGAACACAAGAAAATGGATTCTCCCTTACAGCTTTTTTTTTCCCTCTTCCTCTCCTTTTAGTTACTGAAGTATAGCTGATATACAATATTATATTGGTTTCAAGTGTACAACACAGTGATTCGAGATTCGACAGTTATCTCTGTTATTAAATGTTCACCCCAATAAGTGTGGTTACCATCTGTCAATATAGAAAGATACAGTGCTATTGACTATATTCTCTACGGTATACTTTCATCCCCATGACTAATTTATGATTGAGATTTTGTGCCTCTTAGAACTTCTAAGCAAAGATGCAGCCCAGCCAATTCCTTGATTTTAGCCCAGTGAGACCTCTGTTGGACTTCTAACCTTATAGAACTATAAGACAACAGATTTGTAAAGATAAATGAAGATGATACTAAGTCTATGGCAATTGATAATGGCAGCAACTAGAAAACTAACCCAGAAATTATTCTGGTCAAGCCCAAGCAGTAAAGTCCTGTGAGAAAACATTAGAGCAGGCACCAGGAATCCTGCCTGTCCAACCAAAGGAGGGATGTGGGACTTGAGATGGTAAGAAGAGAAGGAAAGGTTTTGGCAGTGGAAAAAAAATCCGTTTCTTTTCCTTTATCAAGAAAATAGTATTCTTGATACAGAACTTCATTTGAAAATAATATTCAGTAATGTATGTGTTCCAGACTTTTATTGTGCCTTTCCTGGTTGCCTACTCTGTGCTAGGTATCTAGCAATACATGTACGAGCACCTATCTTTACACCTCAAGTTCTTCCAGGGGAAAAAGAAGTAAAAAAATGAACAGAATCTTTAACAAGGTATGACATGTAATTGCACCCCTCCTGAATGAAACTAGCTTCGTTATTTGTTCACATTCTCAGAAGTATATAATGGCTTAGATTTAGATGAGGTCCCTCACCACTGGGATTTTTATTTAAATTCAATATACCAACAAGATACTTGGTCATGATTAATTTGTATTTATTAATTTATACTTCCTGGGCTCCACACAGGACTAGTAAAAGGTAATAGATAAACTCAGCATCTAGAAATGCAAAATCAAATAATTCTTAGGGTAATATACCCCCAGAGGGTATTTACAGCTTCACAGGAGTCAGACGACCCTAAATAACAAGGGCCTTAACGATTGAAATTTGTTCATTACAGAGAACTAGTAAAACCCCTGTTGTCATTTCTCTTGCTTCCCTGAGAAAGGCACACTCCAGTCATGTGGGCATTAAGCTAACAGCAGCCCTCTAAGGAACCAAGGGCTAGAGACAGGTTAATATTTATTATCTATAAGTGGCTGACTCAAAGATCAAAACCAAAATACCTACTACTCTCACTGTCCAAGAACTAGGAGATCACCCTGGTAGCAGCCCCCCTGGGTCATACCTCTGCTGAGTGGGCAGGACATGGCCTGCGTGTCATCTCTAGGGAAAGAAGATGCCTGTTTACCACCATCCACAGCCTCATGCGCTGAGAAACAAGACTCATCCCTACAGCAGACGGTCACTCCATGGGCTGCGCTACTCAGGCTTGTGTAAGGAAATGGCAGAGCACTCACTGCTCTCTCTTCCGACCTAAACTTGAAGCCAGAGGTCACAAAACCCAGTGTCTTCCTGGGCCAGACAGATGAAGTAAATGAGCGCAATGGGTCAAGCAGAAGGAACACAGACACTTCTGGACTCCGATTCCTCTTTCAGTAAGGCATGGCTATGAAGAGGTACGGCTCTTCTGTACACAGCAAGCATGACGGTACATGGCTACTGGCGGTCTGCCTTCCTATTGGGGACACCATGGGAAGTGGTGGGAACAGAGGGAAATTAGTAATTCCATAGCCATCATTGTTTTCCACTCCAGAAAACAATGGCCATATAAGAGTGTGAGCCCCATGTTACCAGCTCTTCTGACTTTTTTTTCTAGACGTGGCCAGAAATACAGACATTCTTGTGGCATCTAGCAATTTTAAATGTTAGCAAAACAACCGAAGAACTCAAGTATTTTTTCAATCTATCTAATAGGCAAAATAAAAGTTAGACTTGGTACATGTTTTAAAGAAAGGAAGCCCCAGTCCTAGCTTAGCCTCAAAATAGAGTAGTCTGATTACTCATATCAGAAGAGGCAAGAGGTAGGTTTCTTACACTCACATACATTGTGGTACCAATAGGATTCAGTGTCCTACTAATGGCTACAGACGCTCTCTGGTCCTGAAGGTAAAAGTCTTCTAAGGAATGCTAACTCCCTGGTCACTCCAGACTTTCCTTTCATCTGCTCTGGGACCCCTCCAAGTCCTCAGGCTGCCTCCTAGACCTGCACTTTTAGCACAATCCCTGCAATTGAAGCGCAAGGTGCTCCCTGTCATGAGACACTAATGACAGTCCAGCCCCTCTACCTGACATTGTTGGAAATGTGCTATGATCGGCCAGTGCCATAGGACCTTAACATAAACCTCCCCCAAACCACAATCTCCCTCAAATACTATGGCACAGAATTCGTACCACTGCTCAGCAAATTTCTAGCTTCAGCAATCATGGTATATTTTGATGAAGAAAGTAAAGCAAAAGACTAATGAAATGACCCATCTCTGATATCTCCTTCACCGAAACACCCTGTTGGTTTGAAATATTTCTCCATATAAACCATACAAACGGTCAGACTTAATCCAGGTATATCAACTGCCGGACAGCTGTAAATTCCTCACTACGCAGTCGATTTGAGACTAACTCTGGCAGTTTCTCCATAACAACTCTTTTGTCAATTTCTAAGGAATATGGGGATCCATAATGCACAATGTCCAAGTAGTAGCCTCACCATCCGTCAGCAATGGGTGACTTGTGTGTGTTTTTACCACCACTATATTTTGAAAACTCACAAAGGATTCCAGTTGATATAATGCTCTTCCTCAAAGGACTCTGGGCAAAGAGTCACCAGCTATGTAGCTTCTTTATTAGTAGCCAGGGTTAGAGAACAATGAACTTGAGACGGCAGTTGAGGGAAGATGCCGAATATAGAGAAAAATTATTGAAGTATGATATATAGAAGAACAACCACTGATTCATGTAAATTCAGGGGGACTGTGAAGTAAGGGGATAAAAATGAAAAAACAGGTTGTGTTGTTCGGGAGCAGAAGAGAGCTCTGAGGCTGAGAGAGACAATAGCTTCGAGAGGACTACTTCCTTGGCCCTGGGGTGGGGGGTTATCTCTGGACTCCAACAGGCGTGGGGAGCTTTATTTAGTTCTGAAAGAATGAAGATAAGAGGAAAATAGCCTCTTCAGGAAGAAGGAAAAAAAAAAAGGAGGAACAACACGAATACTCCTTTATAAGCATCTTAAAGGAGCTCCAACCCCACTGGTCCCCCAGGAGACTTGGCCACTCCCGCTCTGCTCTCCAAATAGACGCACACTGCTCCAGAGGCAGGCCTGGGCTCCAGAGGCAGGCCTGGCGAGGGGAGGCGCTGGCAGGGGAACCAGGAGGCAGGATGCAAAAGCGATCCCACTTCCTCCCAGCGAGAGCCAGGCCTCTGTGGACTTCCTGCACACCCCTCCTGCCGTCCTACGTGCTGGGGAACCCTGGGGCTTTCAGAGCTTTTATCGTATTAGAAGCATTTCTCTCATCATAACTGAGACCTTTAATATTGCATTAAAAAGATGGTTAATTTTCTTAAGCTTCCTTTTAAACACAGAAATAGGATTAGAAGGATAACATGCTCAGATGCAAGCCCATTATTTGATTATGTCTAAACCTAATCCTGCCTTCACCTTGGCCTGCAGAGTCTCCATTTTGGGGTTTATTGGTTGATAATGCCAGGGCTGTCAGATATTATTACTTGTGTGGTATCTGTTGCTACGTGCTCTTTCTTCCACTATCAAATGCTCCAGGTTTGAAATTGAATTATAGGATAAGTTCTCAAAGCCTCGCCATCTTTTCGACCCCTGCACCTATTTTCTAAGGAGAAAGAAAGGTTTGGGTGCCCAAAGAATGGGAACTCTCTTCAGCAAATTCACTTCTAATAATACTTCAAAGGAAAGCCTTGTAACTACCCTTCTTTCAGTTAAGAAGCTTTCTATTCTTTCATGTTATTAAGGATAAGAGAAAATGGTATTGATGTTAATAAAAAGGCCTGAAGAAGTAGCTTCAGGTAACCATTCTCTCTATTACTTTTCATATTATACCAAAATTGTCTGTCACATCACCGCTTTGAAGGTAAGAACTGTGTCTTATTGATATCTAGTGACTAACATGGTTCCTAGTCCAAAGCCGGTGTCCAGTAAATACTTGTGTAACTGAACAGAGAATTCATATCATCTCTTGATTAGACCCAAGAAAGCACCTTTATCTCATTAGTTTTCTCAGTGGAGAAGTTGAAAGTAGTCTAGGGCCTGAGTCTCTGTGATGGATCCAAGAGCACATACATGGACAGACCCTCCCCAGCCCACCTCCCATCTCCCCTGCCCATCCCAGCAGCTTCTAAGTTTCCTTACCTGTCGCAGTGGTTGCATTTAAAGGGCTTTGCACCTGTGTGTTTCCTGTAGTGCCTCGTGAGCTCATCGCTTCGTGCAAAACGCCACTCACACCCTTCCCATGAGCACTTGTAAGGCTTCTCACCTGCAGGGGAGATGGGATGATCATGGTCAGGAACAGGACAAAATGGCCACACAACTTATCAGGTTCTGATTCCTATCCATCAGTCTTGGAAAAGAGCTCTAGAGATCATTTTTGAAAGACTATATTTCTGACACAGTGTGTCACATTACTGTAGTCTCCTAGTGTTTTGCTGCTGGTGTTTAACCTTCAAAAGTGGTTCACAAGCTCCTCAGATCTGGAGCTGTCATTTCAGTTCCTGGAGTCAGAGCATTTCCTTTGACTGGTGAGGAATCAATTTGTATTTATTTCCTATTCCATGGACCACTTTGACCCCCACCATCCAAGCAGAAAGGAAATGTGCTATTTTCATCTGAACCACAAATGCTTCTAATTCTGTTTTTCTCCAGAACCTACAGTAATTTACCATTTCAGCCTTTTTAGTCTTCTCCCTCCTCTTCCCTCCTACCACAAACTGGAGCCAGGTAGCTGACTGACAAGGCAAACAGCTCAGGTCTGCCAGAACCACTGTTGCTTCCAGTAAATGCAGACAGACAGTCACGCGAAAGGACTACAATTTGAGGGTAAAACAAAAATCATGTGATGATTCCTGGCGTTCATTTAAAATACAGTCGCCAAAGTCCTCCTTAAGAAGCCCATAACTGAATGACTCCCATGTGTTCATATGAGAGGGAGATACACATTATTACAAATATTTTTAAAGTCAATTTGTAGAGCAAGGTTTTTGCCACAGTGAAGCTGCTTATAAGCACAAAATTTAAGCTCTTGTGCTCAAGTGACCTTTTTGTGCAGCAGATATAGATGGAGGGAGATGTAAGAGAAAGTACATGACTTTTCCTTGGCCCTTTTTAAATTTTAACCCATCAACATCTGTCACTGAACATGACAAATATTTACCCTCCAACTATATGGTGAGCTGGTTCTGACTAAGAAAAAAATTAATCTTAAAGACCCCATGAAATCATGAGTTACTGAGCCCTAGTAACTGAGAGGCAGGTTCAGCACCACGGTCATGAGTTCTTGAAGCCAGCTTTCCTGGGTTCAGCTTTTGGTTATGCCCCTGACTGTCCAACCTTGGGCCAGCTAACAAACCTCTCTGTACCTCTGTTTTTCTAGAGCTAGTATGCACCTCAAAGTGTTCAGAGAGGATAAATTAATATTACGTATTAATTACAATAGTGTCTGGCATACATCAGATTCACATAACTGGTAATTATTATAAACTACCAAACCCCAAACCTTAGGATCCACAGTGCCAGAGAGCTGTGGTTGTCCCATTATTTCTCCATTTTTAGTAGCAAAACCTTCACAGGGCAGCACTTAAGGAGACATTGCCCAGGTACTATAGTTGAACCACTTTCTTCTTTCCACCTTTTTCCTTCCCTTTAAGCCTGACTACAAAGAGTTCACAATTCTTTATTTGTATCACCTAGAATCGAACCAAACATGATTGAAAATTTTATTTCATTAAATTGGTGCCCTAGTGAGCCACTGCTCTCAGACCCACAGAGAAGAGGAATGAGAAACGAGGCGCTTCGTTTAAAGGGGGCCGAGAGGACATAAAGGCGGGCCGGAAGCACAGGAGGAAATCCATTCAGTTTTGGAAACCAAAAAAAAAGAAAGAATCAGTGAGCGTTGTTATAAATTCACCCTCTGGATCCTTAAAGCCAGAATTTTAGAAAATTGTGCCTGCTGAAGAGAAGGTAGCAGAGTGGAGGCCGCAAATCAACTTTGCAGTTAGCACACCCGGCACCTTTCTGGGTTCACTACAGACTCCTGGCCTCAGTGTTCTTGTCTATCAAATGCGGGTGAGCCTCCCATGTTTACTGTGAGGTGTAAAGAAGCTGTCATGCATGGGACACGATTCTGGGGCCTGGAAGGTAAATATTCAGTTAATTTGAACTCCCTTTCCTCTTACCTTCACCTGCATCTTCAGAGGCTGCTGACGAGACAGGTCTAACTGTCAATAAAAACATTCAGAGTATAGGCCAGGCCTCCTAAAAGGAGCAGAAGTCTTTAGGCTGTTAGAGGATGAAAACTAATGCACTGCAGATAGCGGTGGTCCCTCCCCCAGGATGAAGCAGTGGGTGCTGAGATCTGGGGACATGTAATCTTGGCCATGCAAGGACTCATAGGAGACTTGCACTAACCTGCCCAGACTTTGGGGTCTGGAGTCACTCGGGACAACCTAAATATTGGAAAACAGAGAGTCTTTTTACGTTTCAAATATTTTCTCAGTATATTGGTGGATTATGGGCCAGAAAGTCTGAGGGTTCTTTAGTCTTCTCTGAATGAGTGGGACGCTGAGGGGGAAATGAGACTCCAGTTGCAGAGATGCACCCTCTCAGAGAGCAGCGTTGGCATCATTTACTCGAAGTTAGTGATTATCCGATCACTATTACTACTTGAAGTAGGCTGCTACTTCAAGAAAATCTGGCGCAAACAAACAAACAAGATGAGGAGCATGCGGCACCACAGATTTCAGAAATTCAAATACCCTTCACCCCCAAGGCCTTCAAATGCACGTAGAACTGGAGGGTTCTGAAGCCCTGGGGAGCAAATGTACCTCAAAGGCAGAGAGGCTATAGAAATGCCCAAGCTGATCTACAGCAACAAGAAGGGACACCCAGTCCCCAAAATCAATCCCACAATCGAATCGACCCGACCATCACGGGAAACCACATTCTGAAGGACACAGGAAGGACAGACGGAAAATAGAGACTAAAGTGGATGTCTTTGGGTGCTTTTTTAAAAACTTCAAACAGTTCGTTTCTCTCCTTGGTGAATTTTTTCACCGTGGTGAATAGTTTTGTTTTGTTTTATATTTGACTAATAATATCAAAGATTCAGTTATTGCCCAGAAAATAAAGTAGATTCTTAGTTACTTCTGGCCAACCAACTGTCCTATCCAGTAGTGATTTCAGTGTCCCTTTGCCACTAAATAGAAACTACAGATGTCTTGACTTGGCTCTGAATTGTGACATCTCACGTCACCAGCTTGTGACTAGGTGCTATACAGAACAATATATGGGCTCTGACCCTTTAGCCAAGTTATATTATGATTTATCAAGTTGTTTTTCCAGGGTTCTGATTAATTTACCTATAAGTTGCCATTTCTACAAATACTAATAAGAAATTAAAAATAACCAAGAAAGAACTTAGCCAAATGAAGGAGCAATGCCTGAAACACGCAGAGTTCACCATAGAAACAGAAAAAAATTATAAACAATTGGAGCAAGACCACCTATTTAGGGCTCAGAAACAGTGGGGTCAGGCTGGCCTCATTTCTGGGTTCCATGCCCATTTCTATAAACCAGTATCTTGCAAGACAGGTTAGTGCAAGTCTCCTATCAGTCTTTGCATGGCCAAGATTACATGTCCCCAGATCTCAGCACCCACTGCTTCATCCTGGGGGAGGAACCACCGCTATCCACAGTACTTTAGTTTTCATCCTAACAACCTATTTGAAGATTTCTGCTCACTTTATAAAAGGCTTGGGTTTTTTCTTTATAAAAGAGTAACTTTCTTTTTAAAACAAAAGAAAGAAAGGAAGAGAGAAAGGAGAAAGAGAGGGAGGGAGAGAGGTAAGGAAGGAGAGGAAACAGAGGGAAGTGGGGTAAAAGAAAAGAAAGAGGCAATTCAGTTGGAACTGGAGCAGATTTCATGCAAAATCGGCTCATCTCCCTCACTCTGCCCTCCCTTTCACCCCCTTTTCTTTCCTTGCTCCATTCCAGATACTATTCCTGGGTATAAAACAGAACATGTCATAGCCCTGCACAATACTATCAATGTTACAGCACCTGCAATTATGCCTGCCATTCAGTTCACTCACCCCAAGAATGAACAAAAAGGTGTAAGAGGTCTGTAAGAGACAGGTAGATGGGAGTGAGGCTTAACACACTAGGACTCAAGTGTCTGGAAGGGGTGCGTGAGTGAAGGCAGTGCGTTACCAACAGGGTGGGCGAGGGACTGTGGTGGTAGCCGCACACTTCACAGTGCCTTAAGTAGAAAGGACACCCTTCAGAACACCCTGAATTTTAGGGGGAATATCAGGAACTCTCTGGAAATCAAACCCAGGAAACTTGTTCCCTTCACAGGTGACAGCAGATATAACCAAGTCTCAACAGATTTGCAGCCATACTAGGGCTCTGAAGACAGTTAAGGATGCTTGAGAAACAGGAATGACATTTAGCAAGGTTGAATCATGGCAAGAATTCATACTCTCCCACCAAATGGCCTCTGAAATGGAATGTGGTCTAAGCCAGTATGGCATTTTTTTAGTTTCTTACAGAGTAACTTTCCTTACATCATGATCATCAAATTTGATTGGTCAAAAAACCACCTGAATACCTTTTGACCATGCACCTTCAATAAATGCAGATTTACTCATGAACTATATAAATGTGTCAATGTCCTAATATGTTATGATATTATAAAATGCACCTCAATATAGAAATTTCAAAGGATGAGAGTAAATTTAATATAAATATAGGTGGTAAAGTTTCTCCCTGCACTCAAAAAAGACTATGTTGCACAGCCCTACTTTGGAGACCACTGCGCCACAGGAGAAAAGAAAATAGCTTGACTCTACACTCACTGGTCTCAGTGCTTCTGTTCTTAACCCCCACTGACTATTCTCCCTCCAGCAGTCAGAGCAATCGTTTGAAAATATAAATCAGAGCATGTGTGCCCCTTACAGGGGACTTCAAGCTTTATATTTCCATATAATTGGTTTCTCTGACAACCCCTGGATTTTATTTTATTCATTTAAACATTATTCTGCAAAGTGTTCTACAGGCTTCACCAGACTTCCATGAAGTCCATGACCCAAAAAAGATTAAGAAGGGATTAAATTGTAAATGCAGCAATGGTTTCCTATGCTCTCAGAATAAAACTCAAAAGCCCATTAGGCCCTATAGTGTAGAGTCTACACGATCTGGCATTTTTCTAACTTAATCTCCTACCCCCACCCCCAACTCCGAATCACCATGCAGTCTCACAAG